CCCCAAAACCCCAAAACCCCAAAACCCCAAAACCCCAAAACCCCAAAACCCCATTATAAAAAATTTGAGTTTATCGAGGAAAATTAGAAATAGAAAATTACATTAATTTAGATATCCTCTATCTATAATAGTTCTATATTGCATCATCAAACGATTTTCAATATCCCTCTCTAGTGCTTCCAATTGCACTCTACTTTGTGAATCCTGAATAGCCACTTGTTGCACTGCGTAATTTGGCTATTTTGATTTTAATTTCTGATAGTTTATCATCGAACCTTGGAGGTCTGCGGAACGAAGCATTTTAAGCAACCATTTCAGCAGAATCAGCCTGCTTGAAGTACTCAGTGTAGTCTTTCTTTCTCTGGTTGATCATTTGCACATCAGTCTCACTAAACCATTCAATACGCTTTCCATCCTCCCAGAGACCGTATTTTACTTTGTCCTCTTTAGGAACTACATAGGTACCGATACCATGCTACTTACCCTTCCACCAGTAGCCTTCATAGCATCTTCCATCAGCCCAGGTATAGACTCCGAAGCCATGCTTTTTATCATCTTTATATTCTCCTTCATATTTACGGCCATCGTTCCAAATGTAGATGCCCATACCTTCCATATTGTTATTCTTCCATTCTCCTTCGTAATTACGTCCATCAAGCCAGGAGTAAATACCAATGCCGCTAATTTTGTTTTCAACCCAATCACCAGTGTATTGAGATTAGTCATTCCACTAGTAAGTTCCTATGCCATCTTTTCTGCCTTAGGAATAATTTCCTTCATATCTAGACCCATCTGTCCAGGTTTCTATGCCTCTTCCATGCTGCAAATCATCCTTCCATTCGCCTTCATACTAGGCTCCATTGACGTGTTTATAAATACCATGCCCATTGGCCTTGTCGTTAGCCCAGAAACCATCATAAATATCGCCGTCAACATGGATGAATTTACCTCTGCCGTGAGCTCTATTCTCTCTCCATTCTCCAATGTACATAGCTCCATCTGGCCATCTCTACTCTCCCTCTCCATCTCTAAAACCGCCTTTCCACTAGCCAGTATAAACAGCACCTGTTTTGAATGTATAAGGAGGTCTTCTCTCTCTTTGCTGATTAGGGTCATATCGCTTTTTAGAGACAGTCTCCTTTGATTCCTCGTAAGTAAAGTATTTGCTTGATCCAATATGCTTAGATCGCAACATTGAAGTCAAACGACGAGCCTTGAACCCTCTATAAGCTGCTTAAATCTTAATGATTTTTCTAATGTTTTTCTTCAAATACTCATCAGTAATGTCAGGTTTACTATTTATTCTAGATCCCATTGAGTTGCTCTAATTTTAGCTATTGCCCTTGTCAGTGCCTCTTCTCTGATTATTTCCATTTTGTTGATTTCCACCTAAATCATATAAACTTCTTCTATGTTCACCTCCAATAGCAGCATTCTGCGCTTGATGATTTTAACTTTTGGCCATCCAAGCTTAATCCTAAAGAGATTATTGATAAACATTAGAGTAAAGTAAATGGTAATTACCTAAATAGTGAACTCATTAGGAGTAGCTTCACCCTTTCCATCGCAATTGCAGGTGTTGCAAGTATTTCCCATTTTTCTTAGGTTACTTTCTTACCAAATTTTATAATAAATTCTTATATTTTAAATTCTATCATCATCCCATTCACCTACAAGACTAGATTTTAGTTTTGAGGGTTTTGGGGTTTTGGGG